CATAAGAGTACATTTTTGATGAACATCGAGTATCGCTACAGCACTGACGGTGGCAACAATACAAAATGTAAACTCGACGAAATTTTTGGGYGAATGGGATGARCATATGGACACCATTAGCTGATTTTAAGGATATAGCAGGAACTCTCCCTCCCCGCTTCCCATCAAAACCCCTGCAATGTTAGTAAGGAAGGAATGTTAGTAATGTTTTCAATAAAAATATCACTTACGTCTTTGCTTAGACTGGCTAACTTCTTGGAGAAGAAGTCCATTTCTTTTTTAGTCTCATTAACTTTGGCTTGCAGCTGAGAGATCTGCTCTTTTTGACTTTTAATCTACCACAACAAATTTAGCAMAATATTTGTTAATTAGTTGTCTTCGATTTCGGTTTTCAGTTGATGAAACTACCAATGCTCCATTCTCGAAATCAAAGCGAACAACCGCTGCTATATTTGACAACAAATTCTCTTGCGCAAATACCTTATAACAAACTAAAGAAAGCACGAGAAAATGTCGATTTTACAATAGCCTTCAAAATTTGCATTTTCTTCGAGTTGAGACTAACCATGTATGAGACCTAGGGTTTAAGACTTCTGGGAATACAGAGTTATCCTCAAAACGAGAAAATGAAAATTGTTAGCGCTATTGTACTTAYAACATTTTCAGRTACTTTMTTTTGTTTGGTAAAGTCTTTGCTGAAGAGATTCTGCTGTCAAAAAAACAGCGGTTATTCGCTTTGAACTCGAAATGCAGTGTTATCTGAAATGAGCTWGGATCATTCTTACCATATTTTCTGCTTTTATCGTTGCATTTGTCAGAAGGTTTATTCTTTTATCAAAGTTTTTCTGCATATCTTCTACAATTCTGCGATATCTGAAGGTTTAATTGATGCTAGAATAAATACAGCTATTTGTATAAAGTTGTCACCAATATAAGCCGTCCGAAACCTGGATGAAGTGGATAAAGTTATCAATGGCATATATTTTCTTTGGAGGTAATCCGTTGGATAGAATTGATCTAGTGGAATGCCGCAGTACATACATGCATTTTTCATAAGACAAATAGAGGATATTGCATGGGCGCACAGAGATACGGATTTTATCTTCGAATGTTGAAAAGATTTCTCACGAGTGAGCGTATATTCTTTTTATCATATAATTACATGTAAAAGCAAATTATGTCGTAAAATACCTTTTTTTTCTTAGGTCCACTATATAGCGAAACCTCAAATGTGTTATTTTCACTAGTGAAAATATCAGTTTTACGAAATGGAGAAATATAGGTGGTATTTCATAGATAATTCTATTATTATAAGACAGATTAAGGGACAGGTTTTGTGTTTTAAGTCAAGTCGTTGGTCAATAGGCAGTATGCAGCAACGTCACTTCTAGAATAAAAAAATAATGAAAAGTTGAGAAAATCCTGAAAAGACTTCASAGTCTTTTCCTTACGTTAAGGAATTTGATTTCATTAGAGTAAAACGAAGATTTTACTGAAGACTTCAAGATTTCGAAGATTTCACTGTTTTTGTCTTATGTATGACAATAGAAAGATGTGGCGCAGGACATCGCCAATTGCATCGTGTAAAGCGTCTTTTTACGAAAAATGAATTATTAATTTGTTTAAAATAATAATAAGTAAAAAAAATGTTACACGACAAGTCAATTTGACTCTGTTTTTAATTACTACAAAACACAAAAGGCCGAAATCAAATAAGCTGTAGACCATTCGAGTAACACGGCTTTGGGGTTGGGAATGGATATGTTGGAGTAGGATTGATGGTCTCTAAAATAATATTGAGGGTTCGTTAAAGGCGATGGAGTGCTTTCAACGGCCCGTCGCAGTTCGCAGTTTGGAGTAGTCCGACACTGAATCATAAAAAAAAAACACGACGGTAAACACGACTCGTGAAATGATTTCACCAGACTCAAGAGCACCTTCCATCATTTCACGAGAATAAAAGCAGAGCTATGGCCACATAGCCACAGTTTCATTAGACAATGCAAGGTCGTTTTCAGTCTGGCAAAACAGATTTCACTTTTCATCAAATCTTACTTTTGATTGAGTCTTTCCATGTACAATGTGCTGAGGGTAAGGTTTTGTTCAAGGGCCTTTATTCTGTTGGTAAGGCGCATAAAAATAGATTCCTTCTGGGCCATACTGCT